CTCGAGGGAATGAGCGTTATTCAAGCGCAAATTGTTCAAGAATATCTCTCAATATTCAAATTAAATTAAAGAAATCGTAGAACAAACATAATCGTTAAAATGATAATAAATTCGAAATTTGTACGTTTTGGTTAGTTTCTAATCTTCTTCAGCAAAAAATATACGCAAAAAAGTTACATAATTAATATTGCTCGTTGTCTACGCATACAAAATTGGAAAATGTAAATCTATTCTTTGCAATCTCCAGGGAAGCCAAACTACTCTACAAGAGAATTTAGTTTGTTTTGTCGTTTTGTAATTTACAATTAAATTTTAATTAAAGTTTGTTACTACATTACTAACTTTTTGCCCTTCTTTTGCATATATTGTTTTGTACTTACAGAGCCTTATTATTATTTATTAATCTTATATTCAAGACCGTCTTAAGTACAGTCTTCAGAAGTCACGAACCAATCAGGGCCGATATTCATAGTCGATTCTTATTTTAAGACTAAGTCTTAAGTATTACTTTAAGTCTTAAGTAATGTTTTAAATCGCTAATGCGGCTCTCTGATTGGATCCGACTATGAATACCGGCCAGAGGGCCCTATTAGTGTCTTAAAACGTTACTTAAGACAGTCTTGAAATAAGAATAAACTACGAATATATAATTTAATTGGTCAACACTTAATAAATTTGCTCACTTTTGTAATTTTCATCTTATTTCAATCAACCCCCTGATTACAGCCATAAGGCATATTCATGTTTATAAGATGTACAACTGTATACGCGCGTACGCGCACGCACACGCATACACACATACAAAAGGACGACAAAAGGGGCTTGTGCACGGATGTAGATGTTAGGTTTGTTTTTCCAATAAGATACTGGCCTATGGTCTACTTGATGTTACAAACGCTTCGAAATATTTTTGGTCAGTAAAAGTCTTTTTTTCCAACTGATCAATCAGAAGCTTCCAATCTGTTTGTAGGTTTTATCAAGAGAAAACAAAATAATTGTGATATTTTGCTGCATATTTGTAGCATCTTATCTGCTACCGTTTCCAACTTAATGGTCCTTTTATCTGTTCGTAAAGTGCATGCATGCGTGTGTCATATACGTTTACATGTATACAGATATAATGATTATAAGTAAACCCTTTCGAAATTCCTTGAAATAATCCTGTTGATATGTAGTTCTTCTTGATTTTTCCTTGATGTTTTCTATTACGATTTCATCTGGCACGATTTCCGGTAAAGCATTTCTTAAGTGGGGAAATTTGTCTCGTATCTATTTTCAATGATATACAATTATGATAGCATGCAATCACGAATATAAAAATATTTGCACTTTTACTCTGTTTAAATTGTCAACTGGATCTTCGCTTCGTTCGTTCTCAGGTAATAATCGATTTTCCAGTCGTGTGTACAAATATTGTTTGTACGGTCTATTCAAGATGTTCCAGGATGGCAAATATTTTGGTAATAATTTGTGCTTTGTCGTTCTTTTTCCAAGATAATCTTTCTTATAAATCGTCACAAAATCTCGTAAGTCACCAATATCTTCAATTTCCATCACGTGAATTCGAGCAGTTATTTTCTAAAGTTTGTTAAAAATGTTCTCTTTATAGAAATTTGTAAATAGTGCCAGGAGAATTATTTGCTGTAGCCAGCAAACATAATAATGGTATTGCAATTGCTGATGTAAGCAGCAGTCCAATGTGTTTGATCATTAGCTTGATTCGACGAATTTGCTTCATGTGTCAAATACCGCAAAACAATAACGCTTTAATTGTTTTGCTGAATGTATGTATATATACACGAAGTCACAAATTCCTTAATATATATGAAGTTGTACATACCATATATGTACTAAGGCATATTCAGAGCGCATTCTTCGTCCCTAGATATCTTTGCATTATTGTTGTTGATTATTCAACGGAGTTACTCTAATATATTTTAAAATTATTTTGGAACAATATCTTAAATAAATAAATAAACATAAAAATATAGTAATAATATACATTATTATTATTTTATATATATATATATATATATATATATAGTAATATATGTATATAAATGTATATATAATATATATGTATATCATAATTTTTTATAACGCAAAAATTAAATATATAAATTTATTTACATGCGTTTATATATTTATATGTATATAAACTTATATATGAAGAGAAGACCATTTTAATCAAAATACGCAAATATCTCGAAACGCAGAAGTTTTTTTTCAAAAAATGTTTCAGACAAAAGTTTTATGATTTCAAGAGGGAAGGAGATAATGATCTTGTATGAGTATGATTTCTGGTTTTATTGTTTAAGAATTATATCACTAGAATTATATTGCTATAGAACTGTTTAGAGGAATTCAATTTATCGAAGTATTGTTGATAATTCAAAGATAACCCAAAGTGCAATCATCAAAAAATACTAGAATTGTTAGGATTAGATTAAAATACATTTTATTTGCATTCTAACGTGCTACTATTATTATTAGTCTTTTTGTTGAGTATTTTAAATTTCGAGAGTCCAGAGTTATATTAAATTTTATATTTTTTAATCTAATTTTTAGCATATTAATTACCCGCAGAATTTTGTACTCTCACTCGCTCTATTAAATATTTATTTGTTCCAATTTCGAGAGTCCGATTAATTTTTATTATTTTTATTATATTATTAACATATAAATGATAATTCAAAGTTACTAACAGAGACGTGCCAGTACGTTATATATCTGCCTGTATAAATAATATTACATGTAATTCCTGACACTCGTGTAATTTTACACCTACATCTAAGTTACATGCTATGATTTGATGGGTTATTAATAAATATAGTGACATTATTTTATAACAGTCTTCAATGGTTTATAATATGTGCTTAATTTATTATATTGGGAAACCATATAAAATATACAGGTATACTAATCTTATATATGACATTCGGTTTAGGACTATCTCCTTAGTCTATAATGAAATCTTCTTGGTATCTTGTAACTCATTATGTGGATAACGTATAATATCAGCTGATACATCGTACCCTCGAGTACTATAAATGCCAATTAGGATACAACATCAGATTTCTTGCTTATATCGCTTCGATACGAATGTGTCTTTTCATTTCTTTCTCCATTGCTCATTTTAGGGAAAAGTGACACTTTTTTGTAGGGAAAAGATCCAAGGATAGGGACGAGGTCTACGTCATACTAGAAATTTTATAGATTAGTGTATTTCATTCATCATACGATGTCCTCTTTTTCATATATTGCTAGTATTATCTCTATAAATCTACAGCATTGAATATCTCTCGTATTCGATCTATCTTGTTTAAGTGACAACTCTCACGATATCGTTATTATAAAATAAAAAAGTTATTAAAATATTACTTCTTCATTTTGTGTTTTTTTTTTTATATTTTATTTAATAATTTTAACAAATATTATTAATTTTACTTCTTGTTTTTTTATTTCATTTGTATAATGATATTAAATGTACTATTAAGAAATTTTATCAACGGGAAAAAATGAGAAGTATTGTTTAACAATTTTATAATAATAACATATTTCGTGAAGAAAAAGTGCTTTTGGAAAATATTGCTCTTTGATATCTATTTAATATTAAGATTTTTATTTCTGGGAATACAATTGTATAATTCTGACATTGGTGTGTATTAAGATTGTTAATAAAATTATATAATTATATAATTTTTTATATACAATCCACAACATCAAGAAAATTAAGCTAAAAGCTTTTAATTCAATCTTTTGACGCTGTGAATAATATTAAGAAAGATTTATTTCTAAGAGAGAATTTGTATTAGAGGAAAAATATGAGTATTATGTATATATGTATATATATGTACACACACATACACACACGCGCGCGCGCGCGCGCACACGCACACACACGCACACACACGCACACGCACATGCACGCGCGCGCGCACACACACACACACACATCTCCAGGCGTGTTCTCTTATAACTTTTCAACACTTGTCAGCTGAAATTGAATCGTACTTAAGTAAACGTTGCAAGTTTCCATTGACGCAAAGGCGTTTATGGTTACGTGATCAAAGTCACGTGTTCTGAATAATGGATATTGTCGAAAGCAACTATTTCATTAGACTTCCCGTACGTGGTTTAAGCGACAACTTCGCAATTGTGTAACTCTTGTGTCGTGAGCTTTCTGAAATTCAGAAACTTATAATGAGAAAAGTGAATATTTGACAATGAATTTTTTTTACTAAAATTGCATCAATGTTGCATGCATAAAAGAGAAGTACATCATATTCTTGCAATCTTGCAAGAAAACATAGAAATATGAATGAAATTAGAAGTATTGAAGTACGAGTTTAACTTTTATTAAAAAAAAACTAGAAAAAAGAAAGAAATATAGAACTCTTATTTTCTTCTGTCTTACAATTTACATTCTTATTGATAAAATGTAAACGAAACAAACACGCGAAAATATGAATGCATATAAATAATTTTATTATATGTTTTATTTAGAAAATTAAATATCTTTTTTTTGTATAATGTGTAAAAAGTGTATAATGTGTGCGTGTGTGAGTATAACATTTTCTTAATTTACATATATATAATTTAATAAATTATATTTTTCATTTTTTCTCTTTTCACTAAAATTGATTAATTATTCGACCTGTATTAAGTAAAAACAAGTCATAAATATTATACTGTTAATACTTTATTATTATTGCTAAATTATCCAAAAATTTTTCCGAATCAAGTTTTGGAAAGTAGTTCTTAAAAAAATTATACTGTTAATATCGAGGTTAATACTATTAATTGCTGAATTATCCAAAAACTTTTCTGAATCAAGTTTTAGAAAGTAGATGGATAATTAATATTTGTTCTTCATTTACATCGTAAAAATAATAATTTTAGTGAAATTTTAATTTTTAAATTATTTAATAAGGCATATAAAGATTTGAATTATTTAAAAAGGTACGTAAAGATCTTTATATTAAAAACTATGCAAAATATTATGTCTTTTTAAAATTCTGTTCGAATGAGAAGGACTGCTCAGCACATAATTCTTTTACACTCAGTACAACTTTCAGCTTTAAATAGATATATTTAATTTGAGTTGCGAATAATGTTCGTTGATTTCCACAATTATCTCTGTCGGAAACTCAAGCAAACAAGACGGGTTATGTCTAGTAAACAAATTTTATTAAATTTCTATTCAGCGCCAAATCTAATGAATGAACACATTACAGTGATTTATAAAATTGCATATCAAGGACGAGCAGATTGAATTAATTACCCCTTTGTTATACGAGAAGACATGTCTATTGATCTATATTTATTTCTTTATCTGATGGGATATATATCTATAGCTATAAGCAGTTATATTGATGTAAAAAGTTTGTAAATAGTCACAAAGTCTGTGTTTAAAATTTTTAATATTTGTAATTCTGATTATAACAGAAAAATTTAATGTAAGAGACAAAGTCATTACTCAATTTATTATTTTATGCTATATTTAAAATAAGCAAAAACGTTTGGAAAAATAAACTTCAAAACTGATATATAAACAGTAATTTCACTTTTTCCAGTTTTTTTTCACAGCCTCTATCTGTACAAAATATTTACAAGTAAATATGTACAATATTTCCTAAAAGTTTTTTGTTGATTTTTTTATATGCATACTTGGATACATTCAGATTCTTACCCAAGTGTTTCCCAGGTATCATATTATCCGTGTTTAACATTCGGCGAGCAATAAGGACAATGACACTTGCGTGGCATTCGAGTGGAAATCTGAACACAGCTTTTTGCTGTTTTGCGAGATGCAAACATGTAATGTGCAATGTCTCTTTTTAAGAATTTTCCCATAAATTATACACGATTGCTTTCACATCCGCTAGGACTATTTTACACTATAATGTAACATTATAAAAATTAAGTCAGCTTGATAATACTTTGAAGGCTTCCGTTTTCTTCAGAGATCCATTGGGTATCAGTGTGCCAAAGGGTATCAGAGCCAAAGGGTATCAGTGTGCTCCTCACGTTGATGAAGTGAACGGCAAGATTCACAAAACGTTAGCATTGAATCACAACATACACGGTGATAATCCATAAATGCTCTGTGGCACTATTAAATTAGCTTATGGTCTGTCTTACAGACAGGTGTGCCGATTTATGCAGTGTGTGTATTTTGATTTTATATTTAAAACTGTATTATGGAAAAATAAGAAAGAAAAAAAATTGATTTATAAACTACGACAGGAACATACAAAACAATGCAATATTATCAATGCAATATTATCAATAATACAGTCATTATTATTTAAATTACGCAAGTTTACAAAAAAAATTGTAAGAATTTTATTTTCGCATTTATAGAATTCGTTTTTAGTTGATTTTGTAGAAGCAAATATATGAACTATGAGTTTTTACTTTTTTAATTATCTAAACAGATCACATTTTTATCAGTAGGTATTAAAGTACAATAGTTTCTGAGAAATAGGGGGATGTTCCTTAGAAAATCTATGTCAATATCGGTGATTTCACTTTATAATAAATATCTAGCATATCTTTCTAATATAATATTTAATTTATAATTTCTTAGTCTTTATGTTTAAAAATTAAGAGAAAGAAAGAGAGAAGAAAAAGAAGGAGAAAAAGATCTAGAATCTACTAGTTGCTTTGCAACTAGTTGCTTTCTCTCTTATCCAAGTTCGTCGAAAGTGTGAGCAAACAGTAGCCGAAAATGATTTTATTCCTTTGTCCGCTTGAAGGGGATGTTTCTACAGCACACGGTCAAACAATGTATATTAGAGCTTGCGTGGTAGAGAACTTTTCGTCCGATCCAGAAGTCCAAGCTCCGCTTCTATATGTCCTCGTGGGGGCGCATCGCCACGCCTCCCGCGTCTATATAAGCGCTATGGTCGCGGTGAAATCCTCACTCGCACCCCAGTACGCGGTGGTGAGCCAAGGGTGAGATTCCTTCCCAAGCGAAGGACAAACGGGAGTAGCGGCACAGACTTGTTTCACTTCTATCGAATTTTTGTTAGCGCGAACTGTGAGCCGAGCGGGCACAGGTCGTGAGGCATGAGGGCCTGGTTGCTATGGTTGTTTCTTCTGTTGGTCGTCTTAGCCGATAGGAGCTTCGCTAATCCTTACTTCGATGATGGTGGTAAGTTATAGTCTGATCCTTTTTTGCGCGTTAATGAAAAGAGCTACAAGCTGCTTCTCTCAAATATATCTAACGTAAACAATCATAAGACATTTTGAGAACGATGAAGAAACGTTGAAAAAATTTAAAACGTTTTTACGATAGCTTTGGTCTTACACTTGCGTTGGGTCTTTTACTGATATATAAATTCGAGTTTAATGTTCATGTGCACGAGAGTAACTACCCAGTCAGAAATGACATCGAATTGATGTCGATTCAATGTCGAAAGCATTAAATCGATGTCGATTTCATTATCATTTCTGACTGGGTAAATATTCATCATATATTTACAACCAATATTCTGCAGACCGATTTTTTTATGCATTTGATATATGATGAACTACTAAAATAGAAGTTATATAAAAAGATTATATATTTACGATTATAATCTACAAATCCTTTTTTTGCAACTAATAATTAAGAAATCTTTATTCAGAAAACGTAATTGATATTTGCATTGCGTATGTATGTAAAGAGAATAAAAAGAACTTTATTATTACTGTGAAAGAAATGTTAAAATTTTTTCTAACTAGATTAATTTCTTGTTTACTTTGATGTCATCATATTGACAAAAAATTTTTAATAGAATATTTTTATAATTATGAAACATTGCCTATTCATTTTTTGTGACCTTTAGGATTTTTTAGCTTCAGGCTAAGTGTGATATTAACTATTCTTTTTATATGAAATATTTTTTCAACAGCAGTCAGTTTTTATTTTTTTAATATCGATGGCATTGTCTACTGTGCACACGAAATAAAAATAACTCGTATACCGTCGAATATTATAGAAATCGAATATTATATAAAAAAATAACTCGTATACAGTCCAAAATAAATATATACATTGAGACTAAACAAATTTTTACAGTACACTTTACTTTTTAAAAAAATTTAAATATTTCTGTAGCTTATTATATAATTTTTGAATAACTTTTATATACATTTATTATATATATAT